CCTCGTGTCTGCTTATTGATGAAAAACATTGAATTATCAATTAATGCCGAGGTTAACAGAAAGTCGGTCATGGGAATCATATTTTCGTTACGAAGTTCGAAGTACAGCCTCTCGAATACTTCTCTCTAATTGTTAAAAGGGAAGGGTTACAGTAAAATGACGACGATTCTACGTGAAATATATTGTTGATTTGCTGGTATGGCTCGTGGCTAACATACTATCTCGAACTTTGTTATAACCTAAGCACAGTTTTTTTATTCTATCTAGCCACTGGGAAGCCAGAAGTAGGGGTGTTTGTTGTCCTCATAGCCAATCTATCCCTCATCCCTAGTTATTATCCCTTTCAAAAGGTATTGTCATTGTAGAAGAAACAGCAAAGATTCACATTTGCCGGAATGCGCGAATCGGTCGTAGCTGTTAGGTGTGGAGTATCCCAATGAGGCTTCATTTTGCAGCAGCAGATCGAGTTTTTGAGGTGATGATCAATGATGATTTCAGTGAAACCGACCGACTCTTCTAACTCCTGCCGTATCTCGAACTTATCGTGCAAAACTCCTTGTTGACATATGGACGGTTGTTCAGATCCAGGCATTTCTCAGTATGTAGTGTCATCCTCATCGATACACCAGCACCATAATCGTTGCGTCCGTCTCGCCTCCTCATACGCCCAAGCAAATTGTGGATCTTCCTTGCTCTAAAAGTCGACTTCTATTTAGCCTCAGCTTAAATAACCAACGGTTTCTTAGATTCAAAAAAAAATGGATCCTATTGGATAGCGGCAATGGATCAACATCTGTTCTTCATAAAAGAGTGCAGCTGAGTGACATTGCTCCTTCGAGTGGTGCTCTACTTGACTGGATTAGAGTCTGAACAACAACAAACAACTACATCGAGGACGTGACCACAAGTGGATCATCAACTCGGACCATCGGCTTTGAAGAAGGCGAAGGCGTCGAAACGTTAGCCGAATAAGTATTCTACATCAACCTTATGTCAGGTGAATAATACAAGAAACTATTGATCTTCCCAGATCTTAATGCACCGGTCTATAACAGGTATTCATCGAGCATGAATGTAAAAATCTGTCGACCTTTCAATCTGATTCGATCTTATATTCTTCGCTGCGCTGTCTCCGTTCATACATTTGCCACGAATTTTTGGAGAACAAACATCAGTGCAATACATTTTAAAAAGTGGGCTGGAAGTGAAAAAAGATTTTGGACAAAACAATCGACGAAGACCTGTTTCCGAACCCAAGGCATGTAAAAGTGACACGAGTAATGATATTTTATGACAAAATAAGAGAAAGATTAATTAGGGGCGATTTGATATGTTTACTGAAGGACTCAGAAATGATGTATGAAAGCAATGTGTTTCGAATATGGAATATGTATAAAAGTTTAGGAGTTTAAATTACCTGTCCTTGCTAAATTGTTCGAAACAGTGCTCTCTTCGTTGACCCATTCGCAACATCGACAAGGTGAACTGTATCTCGTTAGGTGAGTTTCTTTATAATTCAAAAAGTATAAATTTGGAGCATGTGTAGCGCAGCGGTTACGTATGCACACATGGTCGTTGGCTCGATCTTGTGCCACCGGCAAGCCATGTACTCAGTCCCTCCGGTGTCGGCAGATTGGTGCTAGACTTACCTGGGAGGATGTAAACACTAAGTTGATACATAACTCGTATGAAGTGCTGAGATATTTGCAAAACTCCGGACCACAGGTGTATGCAGTGGGGAACGAACACGCGCTGTTGTCCTTACCGGGGAGCAGCGCACTTCACCACTACACCATCCGGGTCCTTCGCTTTGCATGTATCTCAGCTAGTTCTATCGATCTTTTTTTGCCATCAGCAATCACCCGTCAACGGGATTGATCTGGGGAGCCAATGTCGGCATTGAACCCAGTTAAGCTGAGGCCTCGTTATAATCACAATCTTAACTCTTATTTACTGCCTTTTTCTTCTTAATGGCAGGGTATGTTGTGAAATATAACTCGTATGAAGTGCTGAGATATTTGCAAAACTCCGGACCACAGGTGTGTGCAGTGGGGAACGAACACGCGCCGTTGTCCTTACCGGGGAGCAGCGCACTTCACCACTACACCATCCGTTGATAGCTCGGCAGACGAGCTCCAATACTTCTGTAGGTTGGATATGCATTCAATCACATCTAGAATGCTGTGAATGGAGCTAAATGGTTTGCGAACCCATGTAAAATCGATTTATGTCGAACGTTCTTTCTTTCACACTTCATATTGATTTAATCTTTTTGCGACCATGAGCATCGATTTCAATGTCTATGCTGCTCTACGTTCGGACCGTATATCCTGATTTCAATGTGCACGCTCTTTTCAGAGCTCTTTCGCTAACATTTATGCCAGACTTGTAGGCAATCAATAGGTTGCTGAACACGGATTTTACATTGGTGCCAAGCCATGTACAGGTGTTTCCAATGTGCTATAGATGCGAAAAGTTGCTTTTGGATGGTATATTGGAATCAGTGGATATCAAAAACGTGAAAGAGAGAAAGAAATACACTTCAAATACCTGGCAGAACAATGAGTAAAGCTAGTAATATCGTGGTTATAAAATGGAGGAGTTTTTCCTCCATTACATGCACAAGGTGTCCTAGAACATGGAAACATACGCAGAAGAATATAGAGGACACTTGGAAGACGCGGAAAATGTATGAGGAAAGCGAGCCACCTGTATCACATGTCGATCTGTTGTTTGTCGAGTGACTCGAACGGACGCCACTAAATTAACCATTGTTCCCTGTCGCGTGTAACAGTACCCCAGTGGGTTCTGCTAGTGTTTAAGCGAATAATAGATGAAGCTCTTGCCGTTGGTCAACGCTTGAGGGATGCGCCATGCATTTGACTTTATTAAGTATCGTTCGAGGTGAATGAATGCATATCTGGCCTTTACAATGACTCGCGGTGGCCTATCGATGTGTCGAGCCAGTGCTGCTATCCTCCCAGACAAGTTTGGTACCAATTTGCCGACCCCCAGAGTGATGGAAGGCTTGGTGGGCCATGGGCCCGGGGATCGATTCCACGTGTGTGTCGCAGTGGCGTCTCTAACCACTGCACCACACGCACGCTTAGAACGATAAAATCATGAATAGATGTCTTTGTATTGATGGATCCATGAGGAATTCTTCATGCATTTGACTTTATCAAGCATTGTTAGAGGGGTCTGAATGCACACCTGCTCTATACATTGAGTTGCGGTAGCCTGCCAATCTGTTAAATCAGATTCAACGCTGCTTTCCTCTCAGACAGGTCTTGTACCAATTTGACAAGCCCCGAGGAATGAGAGGCTTGGTTAGCCTGGAACGTGGGTTTGGACCATTTTTTGCTGCGGGGTCCCCTAACAACTACGCCACACTACACTGGGCCTACTAGTACTAGAGCGATCACCCAATAAACCGGTGCTCAATGCTCTTTGCGAGGGCTCACCAACGACACGTCTTGATATGGATGGCCACTCCAATCGTGATCCCTTGGCACTTATCCTGTGGGCCACCGAAAATTGACCGATGTCGTGAGAGGTTTAAGAACTAAAACAAATGCTCTCATTTGAATTAGGATTGCGATCATATTCAAAAGGATTGTTCTCTACGAATTTCATGATTTTGCGTATAAGAGGATCTGCTATCACCATGCCGTACTTAGAGATTCACAATCACATAGAACTCCCAAAATCAATTTTCTGTGTTTCCTGAAACTAGAAATAAATGTTAGAATTAAACAACTGGGTGGTTGTTTGTAGTAAAAACAACTTAGAAGGAACATCATGAAATTATTATTTAGAAAAATCCATTTCCTATACTATGGTTTTCGTATTTTACAACTCAACTAATGACGTTCATTTTTTATTGAGCCACTCCTAAACTGGTTCGATTCCACTGCGGCTAACCTGGTCTCTCTTTGCTCCGAGGTCAACTAGTTTTACCACATTTGTTTGGGATTATAAAAGTATTACCCTAAAAGAGTGGTAGGCAGGTCGTGCAAATCATTTTACCGGCCAGATATGCATTTAACTATCTCAAAGGTGCTACGGATGGAGTCGAATGCACGACTCGTCTTTCAGGGATTGATAAACACTGGACGCTTTTTAAAATCTTTTACTCCTTTTGTAATAAGTATTTAATGGTCTGACTAAGTTCTTTGTCTGCAGAATATTTGACTTCACCTTTACCTTCACGATTCTAATTCTTGGAAAGCATTTAGTTCCATCAAGAGAGAAGGCTAACCTGGAGAACAAATTAATGGTGAGCTGATGTAGAAAAGTTTATTATTCTACATGTTCTGTGAATTTGCAGGTCCTTTCTATGTAGGCGCTACTGTGTCGAATACTTCTTCTATTTGGATGTTATTTTCACTCAAAATATGGTTATTTCGATAAACAAGCCTTTTTATGCCTTTTTAAATGCTTTTTCAGGTACCACTCACATTGTCGGCATCATTATCGTGGTTTGAGTTGGGTCAGCTTGAATTCTCGACTTTGTCTCTCTTTTGTGCTCCACTATTGTCTATAGCTAGAGCAATATCACTACTTACTATGCAACGAGCATACATACAATATTGTGAAGGAGTTTCTGCAGGCAAGTTAGTTGTTCTCTGCATTGTCGAACAATTTAACCCTGGTGATCACCGCATATACTAAGCTGACTTCAAATCCTTTGTTTGTTAGAAAGGCCTAGTAGCTACACTAGTTATGTGGTAGCAGTATTTTCTACTTCAGTTAGACCTTAATTTCGAAATCATTATTCTCACTTATGGGTCAACTAAGAGTTGCAGTTACATTACAAAGTTATCCTACCATATCCGTGGCATCATGACGCTTCGCAGCCCTGCTGCTTGGGACGATTCTCAATTTTTTTTCCAGCCTTGGACTTGCTAGTTTTTTTCGCAATAAACAGTAATTTTTCGGCAAATAGAGATCTTTGGGATCTATGAACTGACGAGATTATAGAAGAGATTTTGTCGCTTGGGTACGAATGTTATGCATGCTACTTTTTATTACATGTTACCGTAGTCTGTCATACAAGCGTGCTGCTCTCTGGATTGGACAATGTTTTGTAACTTGACCTGCATTTATCTTGGTACTTTTTATACATGCATATTTTATCCGACTTTAATATAGTGATTACAATTGAAATGAGAGTCAGCTGGTAGTCGAATTAACGGTCAGCGAATCCGATGGACTCAGTTGTTTGCATTCTTATAAGTGCAAAGCAAAGTTTTTCTCAAACGATATGAGCCACAACCGCTGTATTGGATAAACTGTTGATTGATCACGAGAACTTTATGAAGAGAGTCCTGTGAACCAAAATAAAGTATCGGAAAGAAAATGAATCCTTTATGACTTCTGCCAGCAAGTCGGCGCACCGTTTATGGTTGCATCGAATCCACGCTGCCTGTTACGTGTTAATGCCGTATCCTGCACCTGTGGATGCACTACGTGGCCTCGTGACTACAGCTTAGGATTCCTTACATGAATTAGTTCCGTTTACATTGAAATATGTCTCTGAGAATATCTTCACATTACAACCGGACCTATTCCAAAGAGAGTAATGAGCAAAGCGGTAGAAATCTTTATTTGTGTGAACCAATAGTACCCATGCGTAAAAACTCAGAAACTTGAAACTGCGATTAAATCAGAATGTAGAATCATATTTTCATATTTTTATTATCCTCCGATATTCGTTTGCAACGATGGGTTCATACTTTACAAATGTGTTTTCATGCACCCCATTGTTGCAGTGTTTTTTAAATGTTTACATGTTTTTTTTTGTTGATTTTGCAATTGATGTGTTTGGATCTAAGGATATATGAACGATTGTGAACCAAACAGTTATTTGCTTCAGGTCATCTGGAGCAATTTTGTCTATATTACACGGGCTTCACCAGTAGCGTGCTTTTCATTCCAGCTCTCTTCTCGTATTTGACTTCTCATGTAGAGGTAGATGCGAGCTGGGAGTCAATCGACTATGTGCGTTTTCTCCTATTTCCGAAGCTTTACTTTTATTTCTCATGCCTTTACTACTTAGTGAGCTATATAGCTGTTTCAGGCACTTATGAGTCTGTCGTTTTTGTTCATGTCGTGCAACCTCTATTCGGATCTCTGGCTTGGTCTATCATTAAGCGCACGCGCCTATGCTGTTTTGGATCACACGAAATACCTCGGTGCATCGGTGAGTAGAAAAACAGTTTGTCTCAAAAAAAAGAAAGAGGAAGTACAAGGAACCTCATCGTATTTACTTTTGAAGCTTTCTGTATTCATATACTCCTTGTGTCTGAAGTACTGATTCTTCTCAAAACCGTTTATTGATAATTACTCGAAATGCAATGGATTTTTTCGCTAGCACATCGAGGTCTACTTCAACGTGTCGTCTGCAAATGAAATGAAATAAATTATATGCGGGTTTTTCTTACATTGTCCAACACCACATTCTGTGTGGAACCCAGCATTTTCTGCATTCGTTTCGTTTTCCTCGCATTCACCATCCACCAAGGTCTTTGGATGTGTGTGTGGATCCGACTTCTGCTTAAGAGTTTTGATTTTTCTTATGAATATCATCGAATGCTGGTGAAGTAGATTCTCACTCAAATCATGAAACAACTGTGCTAGTGGACTCCGAGGTCTTCATCACGTGCAGTCTCCATTTCTGTGTGGGTCGATAGGAGCGCTAGACAAATCTGTTACCAATTCACGGATCCCGAAGCGATGGGAGGTTTGGTTGACCTTATGCGCGATTGAACCGACGATCATGCTCTTATTATTGAACTACAACTTTAGCCGTTACCCTTCCGCTCCTTACTCTATGCAACTAGTGTAAATTAATACTAAAAGGTGCAAACAAAGAAGGACTAAATATTAACTCTCCTCTCCACCGTTATGTGGCAGATTTGCATCATCTTTCTTCTCTTTTTTCGACACTTTCTTTGAGTTTTTTTAAACGTCTCGATTATAATTTAATCAATGTTTTCAGATTGGTCAGTGGATTATTCAGAACATGGCTCATCCGAATGTGATAGCACTCGGTGGAAAAATTCTCACAGTGGCGTGTTTACTGATGATTATTACTCGTCCATTGTCCGTTCCATAATTGAGAATTTTCTTAGTGTACTGAACATTATGACATCATGTGTCTTCATTATTGATTATCCAGAATTGTTTTACCTGTTTTATTTTGCCTGTATTAAGGTATTCCCGCAGGTCATAGCTCCGTTCCTCACATGGACTCTTCCCCAAATTTTTGGCAACTGAATTTAGGAAGATAACCAATTTCAAGCGGGAGGGTCGTTTTTCCAATCCTTTCTACTCGTCCGACCCATCAAGAATCTTTGCTTTCATTTTTGTCATTATTGAAAGTCTTAGAATTCTAGATTTAAAACTGAGGCAGAATTTACGTCTTGGATTGCCACATGAAAAGAATAGGAGGTCGCATTGTTGTGCAACACCAGGGTAGTCAAAAGGAAAGAAAAAAAAATGAGAGAAAAAGGGCTGTCAGTGGTGATGAACTGTGGCTTTATTGACTGGTGTTTTATTGACATCACAAGCTTAAAGTTATTTTTGCATGATTTAGGAATTCGTAGCGGCTCTACTATTATCCTTGATCATTAAGCTAACGCGAAGTTGTCGACAAGTTTTTATTCGGCTAAGTTTTCGACGTCTTCGCCTTCTTCAGAGCCGGATTGATCTGAGTCGAAGGTTCATAGTCATTCGTCCCGCAGGAAGCGGTTTTCTTCTTCATCCTTGTCTAGCGGCAAGCACCACGTTCTTTGTGTAAAATCGCCATTTTTTGGTCGTACTACAAGGAAATGATGAATTGTTTCTCATGTTCCCACCTGATTTCATTAAATTGCATACGGCCAAAATCGATCAGGATTTTTCTAACTTAGATGTTTAGAAGCTGTTACCACGCTCTGTTACCTTTTCTATTTACTGCCTATTGCATTTTTTCACGGCAGAGCATTATGTGCTATACAGCCACAATAATGCCAAGATCTTTGCAAAACTCCGTACCGCAAGTGTCTGTGGTGGGGAACGAACGCGTTACTACCCTTTTCGGGGGCTAACGCGTTCACCACTACGCCATGAGAGTCCTTCATTTCGTCTGTCTCTTAGCTAGTTTTCTGCTGATGTGTGACATCAGCAATCACCCATTAACGGGATTGATTTAAAAAGCTTAAATTAGCAGTGAACTCATTTCTGCTGATGGCACAGATCGATATAAAACTAGCTGAGAGAGAGAGGCAAAACGAAGGATCCGCATGGTGTGGTGGTGAACGCATTAGCCTTCAGAAAAGGTAATAACTCGTTCGTTCACCACTGCAGATACCCCGTGGTTCGCAGTTTTGCAAATATATCAGCATTATTGTGGCCTTATCATACATAATACCCCACCATGACAAATTGACATAGGCGGTAAAAATATAAAAGATATAAATGCGTCGTTTTCTTGTTCAGTAAATAAATCAAGCAAAAATATACAAAAATTTTACAATTTTGCGTTGCACTCAAATTGTCATACACGCGGATGCAAAGTGGCTGGCGTCTTAGAATGCTCGGTGGTATTCCAACCACTGTTACTGAATTCTCCAGAGAGGCCCTTATTAGGCAACGTTCTATAACTGCACTTATTGGAAATAAAGAGGGAAACAAACGGGACTTTATTACTGCTAGAATCATCGTTTGGCGGCTTGGGTTTTCCTTTATAGCCATTTACGACCCCTCACCACCCTACCTTCCGCCACCCTTCCTCAGTGTTACGCTTTCTTTCACACTGGCACAGTTCTACTTGCATTCGTTCGAATATTCGAATATCCCCAGCGATTCTGGAAGCCAAGTTGGTGTACGCCAAATGCCTGCATGGGCGCGCGGAGCTGCAAGAATCGTTTTAAGCGATCATGGACCATATTTAGTTCCTTGCAGAATGAACGACATACTTCCTTTTTTACTGCAGGAATAGGCGAGAAAAGTAGCAAACAAACTTATTGAGCGAGCAGAAGTATCTCTTGATAATATCAAAATGTTAATTTGAATCGAAATGCGCGGAAACGCGTCGTAATTTCATTTCGGAATATGTTGAAGTGATACCACTATAACGTCCACGTTACTTTTCGTTTAGCTCAACGACTTTATACATGTGGCAATGAGTTTATTTATTTCCAGAATTGAAACTAATGCACAAGGTGTTCCCTGCCTTGGTTTCGAAAGGTGGCCTAGTGAAAGAGAACGGAGATTCGAGAAAAATTCATTATGAAGAATCATTAATGAGGAGTTGAGAAGGCTCTGGAATAATGCTCTTGTTAAAAAGTCACATTCCGTTTCTAGTCAGCTTTATCATTTTAGTGGCTGTATCCCTTACTGGTGAGCGCGTGTGGCGCAGTAGTCGGAGGCGTCCTGCGACACCCAATTAGGATCGATCCTCGCTCCCGTGGCTCACCAAGCATTGTATCCTTCCGGGGTCGATACATTGGTATCAGGCTTGTTTGGGAAGATAGCAGCACTAGCTCGACACATCGATAGGCCACCACGAGTTATTGTAAAGACCAGGTATGCATTCAATCACCTGCAAACGATGCGTAATGAAGTAGAATGCATTTCGCATCCCTCACAGATTGATCAACGCCGAGAGCTTTATCCCTTACTGATTACGATTTCCGTCACAAATGTTGGATTGTAAAATGATGTTCTTAAGGGTGATATTCTATTCTTGCTCACCTTTAGCTCCCTACTGATTGTATCCCTTACCGATTGCTATGAACTATCTCCGTCACAAGTCTTAGAATGTAAACAGTTTTTCGCCTGTAATCGGTTTCAGCAAGGGAAAATACAATAAAAATTTCGACTTAAGAAGCACAATTATCCTCTGAGCACAGCTTTCAAATGATGGTCGGCACCTTCAAAATAGGGAGGCGTAATAGTTCTAGAACAATTCTAACCTGACTGCGATGTTGCTTGTCTGGAATACTGCTGAGAGAATCGATTTTATTTCTGTACACGTTACAAAAACAATGGAAAATATGTCAACGAAACTTCGCATAATCTTGCAGGAAAAAACAGTTTCAGACAGACAAGATAATCCTGTTCTTGACGCATTTGTTTAAGTCACTCCTACAATAGAAAGAAAGCGAAGTTTCCGTCACCCTCGAACACTTCATTAAATTTAGCTGTTCTACAGTGGTAAAAGAGTGTTTTCTGGAAACTTGTAGTTTGTCGTTGAAGCGATTTGAATTACTAATGACTGATGGCCGTTCGTAAAACAGAAGTGTCGTTCGTTTTCCATTCAACACATTTCTTCCTGTAATTTCCACCCGTAAATTTCCTTGTGCGCTTCAATTTCTCTGTCAATGATCCGGCACGAAGGCGTGATATCTCGACCAAGAATTGCATATTTCAAAGGATACTAACCAAAAACCAGATGTTCTTCTCATAATAGTCTGTATTCCCACTTATGGATGAAATTTTAGCAGCTTCAAACTAAGCTTTATTTTGACCAATGTTGCTCTGTCACTTTCTGCTTGTGATCGGTGATTTCCAGTCCAATGTCCACATTAGTTCGTTTTGATTTTATCTTTAGCTTTTTTTGTAGGTCTTCATAGGGTTGACTTTTTTGTTTACGGCATACCACAATTTTTGCTAATATCTCGGCATCACTGTGGGCTTCGTAGTCTTCGTATAGAATTGAATCTGTTGGAGTCGTGGATCACTGCGCAGACAGAGTAATACTACCCAGAACAGCTATTCGATACGGGCAGCTCTTGGTGTTGAATCAATTGACCTCACCTCACAGTTACTTAAAGTATAAGGTGTTTCTTAGTCTACTTCCATTCCATAGTATAGTTCGAGAGGGTGGGTAGAGCTGTGGCAGCGATGCCTTTCATCACCAGTTCGGTGCTTGTTCGACTGCACCCCGGGCTCACCAAGCTTCTCATCACGAAATTGGGATAACTGGTACCAAACTGAGAAACAGTTCTTTCTTTAAAACCCAAGTGGAACGCTTGGGCCTGGCTATCTCAGCTCTGCAGAAAATTGGGCTCTGCCAACAGTCGAGGTCATCCATTAACAAGGCAGGAGTCTTCAAGCAGCAGCCGAACTCACAAACGAAAGCCTGATAAGTGGATAAAGGATGCAATAAAATGAGTCGAAGTAAAAAGTGTTGGAACCCTCACAGTGGATGTGAAAGATGAGTTGTTTAAAATAGAAAAAGGCAGTACTGTTTTGACAACGTGCACTTCTCAGTAGAGTAGCATTGTATTTTCCATGATTCCTTTATTCGCTATCTTTTTAGTGGTGCTATAGAGCATTTGTGTGCCTTATAAACTTGTGGACCTTATTTAGGATGTTCATCCTGAGTCAGAAGACTGACAGTCTCCAGCGCACAAAGTTTCTTTAGTTGCCGATGAATATGCTGCCAACGCCTATCATGATGGCACGGCCTATATAACACTTCATCCCGCTTAAATTCACCTGCGACCGATCGATAAAAAGTCGTCGTAGAAATCACTTGTCAAAAAAGGTCGCAGAATTAACACTTTTGGTATTGTGTGCTAGAAGAGAGCTGAATCGACTATTTAGCCTTACACGAAATATTACCTTTCAATGCTACCCTTGAAACCTTCGCTACCAATTGCTCGCGACGTCCAGATAGTAGTTTTGTGTTCCTGGTAAGATTCTTTACGTTATGCAGTTGAGGTAAAAGAACGTTCCAGCAAAGTTTTCGACTTTCCGTTTTTTTTCTCTGGAAATAGCCTCAGTGTTGGACAGCAATGAGTTTCCATATAATACACAAAGCTATAAGATCTTACCAAAAAAATTAAAACCATGAAGACATGAACGGACGATTGAGCAACTCTTATAGAAACAAACAGTGCTCTCCGTTGAATACGACGCCTGCAGCGTACTGATAAAATGAAACACTTAGTCCCCGTCTGGCGACTGCTCATTCCCATTTCCATTGCGCGAAACTTCTGTCGACGACCGTTACTGGGAAAGCCAGTGCAATTATTGTGTTTATTACTACTTAATACTTCAATAGTACAATATTACAATAACTATCTATGGCTGGATGACAGCACTTGCCGTTTAGTACGCATAGTT